TATTATTATTATTATTATTATTATTATTATTATTATTATTATTATTAGATGTATTTCCTTTTTTTCTACTACGAAAACTTAATGTTCTTCTTAATCTATCCATTTGACGATGTTTTTTTCTTCGAATTAATTCAGTATTTGGTGGTGATGGTAAAGATTTTGGTTGATCGTCTAAAAAAAAAAATTATTTCATATTTATCCTGATTATACACTAATAAAAACATATATATATATATATATAAGATCATGCAAGCAAAAATATAACATGCAAATATTATAAATTAAATTAGGAAGCAAAGCAATAGCAACAAATTATTGTGCTTAGTTTTTTCAAAAACAAAATATGATTAGAAAAAAAAAAGTATCATGCAAAAAAAAACATGCCTTCATAAATGTGCTAATCAAGCATTGAGTGAATAATCAATTAAGTTTTTTTTTTTTTTTTATCCTTTAAAATGTTATGCTTATTTTTACCTGTTCCTATTGGCAGTGCTCCATTTGTTGGTGGCACCGTTGTCGATTGACGATATCGACTTGAATGTGAACGGCGCGAATGCTGAGCGCCCATATGTATATATTTTATTTATTTATTTATATTCGTGCGAAACTACTTTTTCAAAAAAAAACAAATCAGGGAATTACACAGGGTGAATATACAAACTAATATCAATCAAAACACAAACAATAAATTAGATATATATATATATCATATATAATGCATAGAAATAACATACCAAAATAAGAGTTTATTTTAATATTAAATCATCTAAAATATTATCAATATGTAGATTTAAGAAAGTACAAAAAAAAAAAATCTAATTTTTCTTCATCATAGAACAAAATATCTCGGAATAAAGAGAACGAGCAAGAAGAAAGTCAATTGAAAGATAAAATCCCGATCAATAATAGAAGAAGAAAAAAAAAAACAAAGACAAGAATAGAGAGATACGAAATGTCACTATTTAGAATAGATTGATTCATTTTATTAAAATACATCACACCATACACACCAATGACCTTCTTGAATAACGACGTGAAGGAACGTCATAATGATTATTAACAAACATTAATACACGTTTTTTTTTTTGTTCGCTCTTCTTATATTGAAAGGAATTATACATTCTTTATTTATCCTGTTTTTTTTTTTTTTTTTTGATAGATTTCCTATTCAAATGTAAAGGAAAAAAAACAAATACAATAATGACTAATTACGAGAAAAGGAAGACAAAAATGAATAAAAAAAACATCTCCATATAGAATTTTTTCTTTTATTATATTTCTTCAGCGATTCCCTATCGCTAACGTTATAGAAAAAAAAGGAAGCAACAAATAAATAAATGATAAATAATATGAAGAGCAAAAAAAAAAAAAGAAGAAGAAAGAGAGATATATAGTTGTCGCTAGAAAATAAAATCTATATTATAAATAAATATACATGTGGCGCCTACTTTTATTCAATTATATATTGGATAAATCGATAAACGAATAAAAACAATTGATGATTATTTACTTGTTTGTATTTGTCAGTCCTGTGTGTTCTTTTTTTTTTTTTCTTCTTTTATTGAATTTCTCGTTTGATTAGCACAATGACGGATGGTAATGCAATTGATAATGAAACAAGTAATGATAATAGCAATGCTGTAATAGAGAATTATCATCAACTACCACCACCGCCACCACCACCCTTACCGCCTTTAAGTAAGTAAAATGTTAAATTTCATAGACATACATACAGTGATTATCAGATTTATTTTCAATTTTTTTCTATTGATGTCAACATTAATAAGAAATTGCCTAGGGAATTTTTCTTTTCAATAACGATGAAAAGGATTGTGTGGTTTTTATCTGCTTGAATTATTCAGAATATGATAGAGAAAATAATTCTCTACAAAATAAAACGTCTTTCAATACTTGATGATGTTTTCTGGTCTTACCGACGGCATAAAAATGATGTTTTTTGTATGAAATATCAAAAAAAAAAAACAAGCTGTTAGTACAGCCCCTATGAGATTAAAATGCGAAATATGAATGTAGCTGCTCTTGCTAATCACAGGAAGGTTGCTTTTTTTTCCTGTTTATTTTGGGACACATCACATCACCATATTTTTACTTAATCCTCCAGAAATGTAATAAGGAAGTAGTTCTTATATTATAACGAGACGTTATTAATATACGATCTTTGATCGTATGTCAACAGTGCCTTGTACGGTTTGTGATGGAAAGAGAACGTTGCTAAAGCATCTGTTACAGCCTGTAATGGCCTAGGAAGAGGAGGAGGAGGAGAGAGTCCAAATTTCTACCTTGTATATGTCAACATTCCATTAAGATTGTATCTCACAAAACAGCTTGAGTGCCTTTTTTTAAGGGAACCCGTCCGGACCAAAAATTTTCGAATTTTTCATTTTTTTTGCTCCACATGTGCTTTCAAGTGCCCTCTATCTACTGGTGACGTTTTGAGAACTCAAATACAGTTCTAAAGCAAAAATAAAATCGAAAAGATAAATCGATTGCCGTAGGGGTATAGCACGATTTTTTCTTTCGCGGTTTTCTAGAAATCCGGGTTTTCAGCAAAAACCTACAGAGTCGCCTCCGCTTCTCAGGCACAGTAAATTCGATCGGACTGAGATTTCTTTTACAGATAGTAGAGACACTTTAGGGGGCTACTTTTTTTTGCTTTGAAAAATATTGTACCGCTGAGTTTTGGCAGGTCTTACAAGACAAGTACTATTCAAAAAAAAAACATGCGCTTTTTAGAGTGCTCTTTGTATTTTGGCTTTTTTTATTCGAACGGTATGAGATAGAAAGAAACCAAAAAAAGTAGCCCCCCTAAAGTGTCTCTAATATCTGTAAAAAAAATTTCAGCTCAGTCGGATTTACTGTGTCTGAGAAATGGGGTCAATTTTTATCCATTGTAACCCCAATATCTTCTAGAAAGAAGCATTTGTGAATTTTGAATCTATGACAACTTTCATCCTACACATTGAGATCTATCAGCTGTGAAAGTTTCAAATATTTCTGACTAGCTGTTCTCGAGAAATCCTGGAAGGCGGGGTTCTCTTAAGATCAAAAACGTAAGAGATGAAAAATTTGGATTTACATTTTCTAGAGAAGCAGCAATCCGTTTTATCTCTGAAAATTCTTATTGAAAATAAAAATTCTCCATACAAATTACTATTTGGATTCTTATTAGTGTTTACAACTAGAGTTCATCAAGTCCAAGAATTTTTGGACTCGGACTCGATTGAATAAAATTTGTTGAATCCGGGAACTCGGCCAATAAAATTTTCAGACCGGAACTTGATGGATTCTATTCACGACAGTAGAAAAATATACCTAGTTGAATTATTTTGAGAGCCGCGGTATATGTGATCTTATTTATTTATTTTTTTTTTGTTGTTAGAAATACTATTAGAAACAAGTAATAATTCGACTATTGAACGTAGTGTTCATAATGTATTACGTAAACATTTTCTGGAACAACGACCAATAACATGGAAACCAATTAAAGTTGAATTAATTGTTAATACACAATTAACAGATGATTTTTTTGGTAAGTATTTTATTTTCCATCAAGAATTTGTTTTTTCTTTTGTTGTTAAATTCAATTTCCTACATATATATATCAATTTTTAAATAAGAATGAAATGGTAAGTATTTTGTCGCTCGGAATCTTCTACATTCCTGTTCTTTTGTTTTTTGATTTTTTTTTTATTTTCTCAAAACTATTATATAAGAGATATATGTTTTATTTTTTTTTCTATCATTATCGTAGACAAGAGCAATACGTGCGTTATGTTATTTGCCATTCTAAGAATAATTTACGTATATTTCACTTAATATTCTAAATTTAAATATTATATACCGCTTTATATAATAATCGTTTTTTTTTGTGTGTGTATACGCACTATAATTATTGAACATACGATCTAGAATTTTTTAGTTATCCTTCTGTGTCGATTTGCACCTATCGAGATATTTTAACACAAACACACATATATATATATATATACTATTTTTTTTATGTAGTGGGACGCTTTGTACGTTTTTTTATTGCAGTCTCAACAATATATATATATGTACATATATAATTTTTTTTTAATTTGATCTATCATCTACACAGATATGACATTGTGCATGTTGACCAATTGTATCGGTGGTCCGTGAAAATTTTCATTGTGAAATTTGTACTAAAAAAAAAAATAAAATTTACTAACCTGATGTTTTCTTTGCATGCTTATCGTCATTAGAATAGATGTTTTTTTTTATTTTGTTATTGTTTCTTTCGAAACAAACATGTAATTCATTTTCTGATAGATAATTGCTTTTCATTGATTTATATAGCCTCAAAATACACCTACACATAAGACAATGCAAGAATATGCATGATTCAATAAAATTGAGGCAAATAAAAAACTTTTCCCAATCGATCACGTATTGATTTTGTTTGTTATATAAATAACTCTAATTGATAATTTAAAAAAAAAAAAAACTTTTTTTTTAATAAAAGTTTATTCTACTGCTTTTTGTAGGTGTATGGCATGTTTGTTGTCTTTCTTTCTTGTTTTATTGATTTTCGACACATTGAACATTTTTAACTTCGACAGTTACAGTGTGTTTATAAATATACTTATATAAATATATATATATATAGATTCGTGCGTGCTGTCTTAACTTCTTATTTTGCGCGTAAATGCTCGCAAATATTAGTAGCGACAGCATGCGCTCTTCTTATTGCAAATATATGAGAAATTCTCATTCACAGTTCATGCCATGTTTTTATGTGTCGATATTTGATTTGCTGCTTGTTGATATTCCTGCCGTAAGAGACAAAAAAAAATTAATATTGAGTAGAGAAATTTGATAATTCTTTGTTTATATTTATCTAAATTTAAATGTTTTGTGTTTATTATTATTATTACTGTTATTATTATTATAATTCTGCCCTACTGACACACGTATACACTTTGTACATATTTATATAGCTGAATATGCCTCTACAAACAATATTTTTTTCTCTTTCTTCCTCTTAGTTTGATATGGTGTTTGATGATATATGCTTGCTTTTTATCTTTGCTAATTTGGTTTTAATAATTTTTTTTTTCTTTTTACATTTAATTTCATTTTTTGTTTGTTTTCTTTATTTATTATATTTTTTAGCTATACGAAAAAAATTCGAAAAAGCATCAGGTGGTAATCGATTTGAATTCGAAGAACATTATGGATTTTTAATTGAAAATGATATTCAAGTATCTGACATATGTAACAATGGTTATTATTGTACAGAGACTTCATTTAATGTTCTAGGTAAATATATATATATATATATGATTTTTTTTCTCAAACAAATTCTTTTATTTACATATACTGATTTACTTAATGAAAAAGAAAGAAAAAAAAAAAAACAAGATTTAGTTAAACAAAGAAAACTAGATATCTGCTCCGGGCTTATTTTTTTAACAAAAATAATTTTTGTTCTCATATATGCAAATGTTTATATATGCTTGCTTATCTTCTCCCTTATATCCCTAAAGACACACATACTATCTATATGTATGATCTAGTATGTATGTGTGTAATAATTTGGAAATCTTGCTCATATTTAATTGTAAGTATCTATCTATATATATATATCACTATCATTCAATATAGATCGCTCTATATCTATCTCTGTTTTTTCTCACTTACTATTTGTTTTTATTTTCTATTACGCTCTAAATGGTTGTTAAATAAGCGCGCAAGCTATTCATATTACATATATATATATATCGGTTATTGTTTTTTGTTTTTGTCAAAATTCTATATATAATAATTATTAAAACAAACAATCAAGCTCTCACTTTGCATTATTATTATTGATTGTGATTCGATTTTTACTAATCCTTAGAAAAAAAAAACATAATAATAATTTAGCCGCATCTTGTTGTTTCTATTTTTTTTTACAATTCCCCTTTATGCTATTGTTGTGTGTGTTTACACATTTTTTGTTCGTTTATATATGTCTTTCTTTATATTATTATTATTATTATTATTGAAAATTTTTGTATATATGCACATATAAAACAAATTTGATCCTAAATGCACAATCTTCACTCAAATGTTTTTTTTTTCTGTTACTAACCATTAAAAAAAAAAATAAATGATTATTGCTGTCGCCGCACGTTTATAAAAAAAAAAAAAAAAGAATAATAAAATACTGTCTATAGAATTTGCTTGCATGTGCTCTCTGTCTCTCTTTTTTTCTTGCTGTTAATTTGTTTTTTCTATATTTTTTTTTTTTACATTGGTAAATGGGTCTTCTTACACTTAGACATATTGATATAAATGCACACTTGCATGGGGCTTTGTTATTTAATTTGTATTCTCTTTTTTTTACTGTATAGAAAATTCTTTGTTTTTTTTTTGCTATATTAAAAAAAAAAAACAAAACAACATATATTTGTGTGTGTGTTTGTGTGTTTTAAATATTCGTTTAGGAATGATCCAATATATGCTGTTCAAATGGATGAATATGAAACAAGCAACAACGTGAGTTTCAAACCGATGACAAAAAATTTCGAGCTTATCACCGCCTTTTCTCCTACTTCTGTCCCTCCATACCGTGTCAACCGCCGTCGCATATACCAATTTTTTTTAATGTAATATATATTTCACTTGGTTCATCATCATCATTCTAGCTAACACATTTATTTATATTGCAATACTTAGCTTGCGTCTTTTAGTATATAATTGTGATTTATATGTGCTATTTTTCTCGTCTTTTTTTTTATTGCTGCCCTCATGAGTTTTAAGATGTGTATACACGTATGAATAGTTGTGTATGTTGTAATATATCTTGAAATATGTTTTTTTTTTTTGTTTGGGGTGTGAGTGTTGTTTGCTAGAAGAAAAACAAAAAGATTTTCAATGAGTAGATTTTAAATATTTTATTGAAGAATTTTTTCATGGAGAAGAGAAGATTTAAATAATACAATATTCAGGTAGATAAAATCATTTTTTTTCTATGTGACATTTCTTTTTCCTTTTAAGACAATGTTTAAAGAATGTTTCTTATATTTTTTTTGATATAATTACATTGAGATTGTTATACATTGTGAGAAAAAATAAAATTCTATTATATTATATCATAGAATAGTTTCTTGAGATACATTAATATTTTCATAAAAACAATCATTGAGAAACAAAAAAAAAAAGTGATCAATCAATTTTTCTAGCTATGTTTTGCTTGTCACAATTCATTTAAATCATTTTTTTTTCGTATTTGGATGCTTATTGTTTTAAATTGATCTAGATTAAAATTTTTTAATTAACGCGAATCCTTCATGTATGTCCGTGTTTGATAATTATTACCGATATCTTTATATATATATGTTTAATAATTAATTTCTATGATGTTTATGCATGATCCTTATATACATATCTGTATGTTGGGGTTGATTGGTTATGCGATAATTTAAGTCGAAAATTCTTTTTTTTTTTGCTTTTTTTTCAATCATCAAAAGAAAAACACACACACATACATATACTTATATATTATATAGATCAGGAAAAAAAAAAGATTTAAATTTGAACATGCTGATTTATAAAAAAATAAAAAATATGTATGTTGCCTTTGATCTATTATTATTGCTAGTTTTTTCTTCTATATTTCATTTTATTTTTGTAATCTCCTGATCGTCGTCATATTGTTTTCTGTTCGATTGGGTCTTTTCTTTAATCGTTTATTATTACTTTAATTTATTTTTCGTGTGTGTGTGTGTACATTATTTAAATGTTGTTTCAATGTTGCCTGTTTGTGTGTGTGTCTATATTTTAGGTCATAGTAAATGTGGTGTATACGTTTGTAAATATGCTGATGTATGCATTCGACAAGCTAGTGTTCGACGAACATGGGAGGGAAGTATGACAATTAAAATGATTCTTTTTAAGGTTTGTTGAAAAATTTGAGTTAAATAAATTATATTTGAATTGTTATCATCTTTTTTTTTTATTTTTTTGATATATTAGATTGTTGAAGGAAAACAAACAGCAGCTCTTGTTCGAAAAGGACCAAAATTACAGCCTATAGCACCTACATCTCAATTTACAAGTCATTGTTCAGTAATTACACCTAGAGAAACGGATGATTTGGAAAAACAATTTGATCAATCACAAGTAAAAATGAAATTGTTTTTTTTTTTTGAAGAATTGATCTTATTATTGTTGTTATTTTTTTTTTCTAAAATCTCTTTTAGATATTTCTATATGAATTTGAAGGTCGAGAAACAGTTAAACGACCTCATCATTGTTTACCTTATGCTATCGTTAGTCTGATACAAGATGGTATGAGTATAATATATTTTATAAATTCATTTTTTTTTAATTCAATAATTTTTATTTTAATTAAAGGAACACAATGGCCAGCGAATTTTGATGATTTAGATATGGAGTCGGATGTACTAGAGACAGATACATTACGAGTCATTGCACAAACAGATGATCCATTATTACAAAATAAATTAAAAGAAAATATTGAATTAGCTGAAGCAGCTACACGTGCTTTGGAACATATTTATGAAGAAGAACCACCACCACCGCAACTTCCCAGTGTAGTAGAACAATCACATTCACCATCAACAAATTCCGAAACAATATTAACAACAACATCCGATAATACATCTGTTCCTATAGTTAATGGAACAGGAGTATCATCATCTTCGACAATATCTAATGACAATCTATCAACAAGATCACCATCTCCTACATTAGGAACAATAAATACTGCTGAAACTTCATCAAATTCTATAGTACCACCACCACCTCCATCGTCTTCAACAGCAACAACAACAATTTCAACTACAAAAACATCAGCTGCAACTACAATACCATTAACACATTCAGCAGCAGCTGTTCAATCAGCTTATCGACAACAAACAACAAGTCTTTTAGGTGCACTTCCAACTGCAGCTGCTCTACGAGCAACATCAGGTGCAGTATATGCAACAACAGCTGGTCTTGCTAATGGTATTACTGGACAAATACTTTATGGTGGTAAGAAGAAAATTTTATTTCTACTCATTTTTCTTTGATTATTTTCAGGTGTTCCATTAGATGCATTTCGTAATTATCAAACAGCAACTGCTGGTGGTACTCCATATGTATTTGCTACACATGCTGGTCAAACAATGCAACAACCAGCACTCTATGCTGCTCAATTGCAAGCTGTTGCTCAACAACAACAAGCTGCTCAATTAGCAGCAGCTGCAGCAGCTCAACAACAGCAACAACAACAACAACAAAATTTAATGAATGGTATTCCAGCTGGTTATATGCTTGTACGTACAGCTAATGGTGGTTATGCTTTACTTGCTCATCCAACAACAGCATCAAATGCAGCAATACAATCACAAACACAAGCACAACTTGCACAACAACAGTATATTTCTTTTAATGCAGCTGCTCAACCTACAGCAGCTACATCACGACTTCCAGTTGCTATGGTTGGTGGACAACCACAACAAATTGTTTATCAATATAGTGGACAACCGACTACACAAGGAACTCCAACACAATATATTCAATTACCAACTAATTATGTACAACAACAACAATTATCAACAAGTCCAATTATGCAAACAACAGCATCAGCTGCTTCACAAGGTTTATATACTTTTGTGAATAAAAATATATTTAAAATATTAAATTATATTCTTTTTCTTTTTAGCTTATACAAATCAACCATCAACTCAATATATCGGTGCACCACAATCAGCTAATACTAATAATAATACAAGTGGTTCTTCATCAAATCCTTCTGCAATTGTTTCATCATCAAATGTAACAACATCATCATCAGTAGGAGCTCAATCACAACCAACATCCACTCTAATATCACCACAGAAACAAAGTGCTGCATCAGCAACAGCTGCTGCTCTTCAACAACAACAACAATATCAACATTCTCAATATTCACAACATCAACAACAACAACCGACAAATACTGCTCATGGTACAAATGTTTATTATGCAGCAATAGCTCAAGCACAAGCTCAATTTACTGCACAAGTACAAGCACAACAGCAAGCTGTAGCATTTGCACAGCAGCAACAGCAACAGCAACAACAACAACAACAACAACAACAACAACAACAATTTAATTTAATTTCTCAAGTAAGAAATTAAATTCATTATCAAGAAGAAAAAAAAAATAGAAAAGTCAATGATTACTTTTTTTTTTGTTCTTCTCATTAGATGCAATATGGAACTCAACAAGGTATACCACAACAAATGTATTATACAACACCCGGTGGTCAAACAATATATCAAGCAGGTGGTCAAAGTTATATACTTGCTCAAGCAGCTCCAACAGCAACAACAACTACTACAACTGGAGCTCCAGCTATGTATTCTGCAGGTCCTGCATTACATAATAGTTCTACTCAACAACAAAATCAACAACATTCATCTCAATCTCAACAACAACAATTAGCTTATCAGATAGCGGCTGCAACTGGTCAATCGACAGCTGCAGCATATCAAATGCTTAATGCTGCGTCAAATGCAACTGTTACTACTCAACAACAAACAACAGCAGGTGCCGGTGTTGTAGCTCAACAACCTGCCCAACTTGTGCAACGTCCAAGTGTATTATCACAAGTTCGACATCATCCATATAGAAACTAAAAAGCAAAAATTTCTTGTTTTGTCTTTTATTTGCTGGATTTTTTTCTCAATAAGTTTTTTTTGTTTGCATATGTTGGTTGATTTCTTTCTTCTTGTTTATCACTATATTTGGTAACAGTAGAACCTTGTGCTTGGTCAATTCATATCTCTGAGAATTTCACTTTCTTTGTGTGTCACGTTTGTTTACTTTTGTTTTGTTTCCTTTTTCTTTTTGTTTTTGGCTTCAATATATTCATTACACGTGTATATTAAAAAAAAAAAAAACTTATATTCAGCAGTTATGCAATTTTATGTTTTGGTTGTACTTATAAAAGACGAAAAAAAAAAAAAAAAAAAGAAAACCAATTTACTATTATATAAATACGAGTGTAATACAAATGTTTTAATTAGATAAATATATGTATAAATTTAATTAAAATTCTCTAGATATTAAAGAAGTAAATATAAAAGAAAAAGTATGAGTAAGAATAATAATGATGAAAATCTTGAATATTATCGAGCAAAACAAAGTGCTGGACAACTATCTATAAGTAAAAATGAAACAACGAAAACATCAAAATCATCGTCAAACGATACGATATTACGATCAAAATCAGATGGTTACATACCAATGAATGAATCACCAGAAAAACAACGTGAATTTCAACGTTATAAAGAAATAACATTTGCACAAAAAGCAAGTGAAAAAGCTAAACAAAATCCACTCATACCGTAAGTAGATATTTAAATTGTTAAAACAAAAGAAAAAGAAAATCCTTTTTTTGCTAATTATTCTATAGTATTGGATTATTAACAACAGTAGGTGCTTTAACATTAGGACTTCGTGCAGTATCTCGTGGTGATAAATGGCAATCACAAATGATGATGCGGTAAACAATAAAGAAAAGAAAATATTTATTTATTTTATTTTTTTGTATTTTTTTTTATATTTAGAGCTCGAATCGGGTATATTTTATTTTATTCATTTTTTTTATTCAAATGATAAAACTTTGCGATACGAATGCAATGATGATGGTGATCATCGGTCTGGCGCATGTTTATTTTAAGAAAATAGCTGAATTTTATAAAACATGACTTAACCATGAGGACTAATGTGGGAACGACCTGAGGTAATACCTTGTGTTTGAGATGAAACGCCAATCATTACGTAGGACCTGTTGAGACTAACAGAAAAATAGAAGAATTCTTCCTTATGCATTGCCCTTTTGGAGTTTATGGTTGTTACACTGGATGTTTTATCGTCGACACAATATTTATAAAAAAAAAACCAGGATAAATGAAGTTTGACCTAAAACTTTGTCCACAAGCAACTCTTGAAGTCATTCGAATCCACAAAAAACCATGATATTCTACCAAAAGAACGGAAAATTTAGATTTTTTTGCGGGTTTGATATCTCGAGAAGAGATCACTCGTTTTGGTTGAAATTTTTAGGAGATTCTAATGACTTCAAGAGTCATTTATAGGCAACGTTTTAAACCAAAATTCGTTTATTTCTAGTTTCAATAGACACTACGCAATGACCGAAGTTTCTTCTCAAATGCTATGTATCACCTCAGGCGATTTCCTCGTAAACTTCTCTCGAACGAGAAAATTGAATTCGAGAATTTCGATAAACGTCCTATAGATTTGGATTTTCGGTCTCCGAAAACCTTTAGTCTACTTTTATAAAATTCATCTATCTTTCTTGAAATGATCTTTTCGATTGAAAGAATCGCAATTAATTCAAGACCGTCATAGTTTTATGATGCGTTTGTTGTCTTCACTGTTAGTCTCCATGTACATGTTTAGATCGGTGCATTCCTACTATGAAAAGTAACATTTAAAACCACAAAAAATTATCCATCTGTAATCGGTACATCATAAACTTGCTTTTTATAGATTCTAAAAATAAAAATTAATTATATTGGCTATTACTTCAGTTTCTTACACGTGAAGAACTTATGTAAAGATAAATGTAATTGATAGGATGCTTCACTTGTTTTTTATGTCTAATAGTCATAAGATGTTTCTCTCGAAATAATTACTAATTTACAAAAGCTATTATGTTTATGTTTGTCATATAGATATATTAAGAAATATCAATATATCTACAAATTGTTTTTTTTTTCACAATAAATGTCGTAATTTATTACATGCAGAGTGCATATTTTTCTTCTTGAATCAATTTTCTAGTTGTCATTGAGTTTATTATACAACATATTAGATGATTAATACATAAAACAAAAAAATGAATTATATTTATTTTTATTAAATTCATTAAATTAAAGTAAAACAGCAGTACAAGAATAAGTTTTTTTATGACTTTTATATATCTTTTTATTAACAAAATCATTTTCTATCTGAATCAATTATATAAGTCAATTTTAATATTTAATAATTTTTATGATTATTAGTTTTACAAGGGAAGTAACAATCTAATGGCAGAGTAACCTTTTTGTCGTTTATATTATCAGAAGTAAAGAACATAATTTCAAGAGTATAGCGATAGCGAACGTCTATCGCTTACTATGAGAATATTTGCATTTTGTTCTCAGCAAACGTCATTCTTTTTATTGAAAAACAATATTTGCACTTGTGCACTCGTAAAAAATTTTATATGCAATCTTCCAGGTCTCAAACAATTTTCTTTTCACCCTCTTAGCAATATTTTTCTTCGTCATACAGTTGCGTACTTGTACGTACTTTTAAACGTATTCAGGCATTAAGTAAATGAAAGAAAAAATATATGCTGTTCGAGACAATTATATTTCTTATCTTGAACTGAAAAAATACGTTTCAACGAGCTCCTTTCTAGTCGTATAAATTCATATAATTGATATTTATCAAGTGATATTTACTGTTTTGACTAAATTAACAGTAAATGAACCATTAAAAAAAAAAGCTTTCTAATTCAATGTTTTTCAATAGCAATTTATAAGAGTTCCGAAAACAGGAAATCTCCGAATATTTTCATTAAAAAAATAACATTTCTAATTTAATATTAAATAAATGATTTTTATTTTCAGTGCTCAAGGTTTTACAATTCTTGCTGTTCTTGCATCTATTATGTACGCTGGTCAGAGTCGAGAACCCACACAAACACCTCCAAAACATTCTCGATCTTCTACATCATGAGAAATATTCATTAATCAATTTTATTTCTTCCCAAATTTTATTCTTCGTTACATATAATAAATAGATACGTATTTTTCTTGAAATAATACGAAAAAAAAAGAACAAAATGGTAGAACGTCTTTTTTTTTATCAAATTGATATCGTCATGTTATCTAATACAGAATGACAAAACCATGCATATGAATAAAATTAGAAGTGACATAAAGAAGATATAAGTGTTGCCTGTAATCATAACATTTTGTGCAAAAACAAAAAGCCAAATAGACTAAACTGTACAAACAATGACAATTTGCAACAAAAAGAAAAACAAAACTAAGAACAACAATAAGAAGACGGAGACTGTTCGTATTTATACACATAAAACAAAGGAGTAAATAGGAAACATATGAATGTATTATA